TATTTCTTTTTAATTTATTGTTATGACAACAATTTCCTACCAGTTAATTGGTTTAAATTAATAAATAACGGTTTTTCGGGTTCCAAAATTAATAAAACTTAAAATCGATATTAAAAAAAACCTGAATCAATCTAAACATTCTGTAAACGCAAAAAGGCATTCTTTGGATAGAAGAAACGAAAACGACTTTCAGAACCCCATCATTTTTTTGTTTTGGTTTAAATTAATAAATAACGGTTTTTCGGGTTTCAAAATTAATAAAACTTAAAATCTATATTAAAAAAACCTGAATCAATCTAAACATTCTGTAAACGCAGAAAGGCATTCTTTGGATAGAAGAAACGAAAACGACTTTCAGAACCACATCATTGTTTTGTTTTGGTTTAAATTAATACACTGAGAGAATTTGTGTAGGTTTTCATAAGCAAATATATAGTACTAGGATTTTTTAAAATATTTAATTTAACAAACGAAGTTATATTATAGTGAAACAAAGATAGTTGTAATAAAGAAATATTTTGTTTACAAAACTTTTAGATAAATTCGGATTTGGTTATGAGAAATAAATTATTTACTTATAAGCTTATATAGTAGGTAATAGTATATCTTAGTTATCTGTATTAAAAACATCACATTAAAATGATTACCTACATCTTAATTTATCTGCTACAACAAAATATTTATTTGTTAAAAGTAATAATGATATTTGCAAAAAATAATTAGTATGGTTAGTATGGTTAACTAAAATATCGAGAGGATATTGAATGGAGATTTAGTGCACAGAAATAAAACATCGGCGCGACAACATACATTTGTTTATTATAACCTAAACATTTTGTTTTCCTTAAAATAATTTAGTAACCAGAACTAAACTATATTTTATTACAATCAAAATCTGGATAATTTTATTAAATTTGACATGTTTTGTCTCCATAGATTAGATAAAGTTTGTCTCAGAGCAGAAAGACTGCCGTGAAAACAGTGTTAGTGTCGGGGAAAAGTGTGCGAATAATTGTTGTTTACTATTTCTATACTGCCGTGCTTAAAAAACGCCATATCTACAATATTAATGAAAATTTTCGTTTCTCCTTTAGTAATATTGAAGATACGGAGTTTTTGTTAAGCACGGCAGTATACAGATATATTAAAATAACATGGTGGATGATGCCGCAAATTTTGTTTTAAAGTTCCATCTGGAGAAACTCATTTCAGTTCTTGAAGGTAAGCATAAGTTAAAAATTGCAGCTTTTCTGTTTATTGTGTGTTTGATCGTACTCATTGAGTACAAGCAGATATTTTGTCCTATTTTCAGTTTATTAGCTAAAACAAATTTTAGGTTAGAATAAGTTATATTTAATAGATTAGAATATTTTTGCTTGTTTTTATCATATATAAAGTTAATTACTTGCATTTTACTGTCAACTGTTTGTCCTAATAAGTTTATTTTTCATTATTATTATTTGATTGTGCAAGGTCAGACATTTTGGCAGATCTAGGTTTAGTTCGTATACTATAGTACGTCTTTTTAAGATTTTAATGTGTACTGTACTGTAAGTGTTATTTTTCGTTTTATTAAAGTTTGGTTGAAAAACTGCTTTAAACCCGCTATAGTGTATATATACACTCGTACCACAGAATAGAGAATAGTCTGTGGCGCGAGTGTGGACCGGACTATAATATAAATAATTCTTGACCGTTCGCTTTTGGCTATGTAAACAAACATTTCTATACCTTTGATATATCAAAGGTATTTTTCTTACATTTTCAGAAAATGAGTTGATCTTGGAACTTCTCGTAGAGCTATACAACAACGAAGCAGAGAATAAAGAAATTATCATTACAACAACATCTTCTTTCTCAATAGGAACAAAAATTTGTTTAGTTTTGTATTTTTTTATAAAAATAAAATATTGTTCAGTTAACGCAATTTTAATTTCACTTAAATCAAACCTAATATTTAATAATAATCACTAAATATTCGAGCAGTAAAGTAATTCTTGTAAAACAGATTTAATTTTGGTGACTAAATAAATTTAAATTGATAAGTTTTTAAAGTTATTTTGGTAAAACAGATTTAATTATGGTGACTAAAAGAATGTAATACGCTAAGTTATTAAAGTAGTTTTGATAAAACAGATTTAATTATGGTTACTAAATAAATTTGTAATGACAAGTGTTATTTAGTTACAGTAACTAAATATATTCCCAAGCGTAAAATTAAATTTACCTATGAGAAACAAAACGTAGTAAGCATACTTGACTAAATATTTTGTTTACCTCAAATAAATATTTAATTCGCCAAATAGGACTAAATTATTTAGTCCCCACAAATAAATTATATTTATTATAAATAACCTGTTCTCTCAGTGTAAATAACGGTTTTTCGGGTTCCAAAATTAATAAAACTTAAAATCGATACTAAAAAACACCTGAATCAATCTAAACATTCTGTAAACGCAAAAAGGCATTCTTTGGATAGGAGAAACGAAAACCACTTTCAGAGCCCCATCATTTTTTTTTGTTTTGGGTTTAATTAATAAATAACAGCTTTTCGGGTTCCAAAATTAATAAAACTTAAAATCGAAATTAAAAAAAAACCTGAATCAATCTAAACATTCTGTAAACGCAAAAAGGCATTCTTTGGATAGGAGAAACGTAAACCACTTTCAGAACCCCATCATTTTTTTTTGCTGTTGCACTGTGTAATTTATTTATAGGCATGCCTATAGAACAATCAAACTTGTACTAAAATAAATTTATATATTATAAATAATGCATTATAATAATAAAGATATAAACATTTATTGGTTTTCCAAAAGGCTATCGACCGTGGTCTTTCTGACCAATTAAAAAATTAATTTTTTTTTATGATAATTTATTCCTTTGTATATACTACATGTATAATAAGTGCCATATAATATATTATAAAATTTTTAAAATTAAATAAAATTGTTTAGATCTTTTTTCATTCTTTTCAATGAAGCAAATTATTGTTTACCTAATTGGAAAAATTAATTTTTAATTTTTTCAAAAAATCTTTTTAAAAAATAAAATTAACCTCTTTAGAAAGCTAATGGGATGGGAACTGTTTAAGAGAAGTTTGTTATTTGTCATCTGTCATCTGTCATCTTAAGCAATCACAGATGACAGATAACACACTCCTGCGCTTAAAACAATCACCTTTTTTGTTTTGTAGTTACCAGTAAAGTTTGTTGTTTGGTTTCCAAAAAAGTTTCTACAAAATAATATTAATTTAGGTAACTTTATATATTTTTTTATCTTTTCGCCGTTTTTTATTATGCACGTTAATAAACAATAAATTTATTTTATTACAATTTTGATTGTATTATAGAAATTATAATATTAAAGATAAAAATATTTATTGGTTTTCCAATTTTCGACTGTGGTCTTTCTGGCCAGTTGAGAGAAATTATTTTTATGATAATTTATTTTACAAAAAATTTTTTCGACTTATTTTTGGAAAATAGTTTTTGAATAACATTTTTTTCACTCCCACAGCTAAATCTTAATGTATTTATCGAGAAAATATTTAAGTTTATTTTTTTATATTTTTTAAGTTTCAGCCCTTACTCTTACACCCAAGTACTTTAATGTTGATATTTAAATTTTTCTATGTATGCATTTTACAGCAAAGCGTTTTAGCTTACAGGTGAAAAGTAAAGAATTTTATAAAAAGGCAAATTTACTAGAAAAAAGATTATTTTCATTATTGCAATAAAATGCATTGTTTAAATTAAATGGGTGAATATATTGAGATGTCCCCCAAGTAAAAATGATTATATTTTATTTTTGGTTGTTTCACTGTTAGTCTAGAATGTTTTTTTTGAAACCACCAGGTCTAGTAATAACATAACATAAGTGGTTCTGCACTAATGCAATTTTTAAAAATCATACATTTTGAATATTAGATCTTCACAGAAGATAGCTTCACGGAGGTTAGGATTTCGTATGTTTTTAAAACATCCCTTTGTATATTTGAAATAAGTTATTGTATCTTTTGACACCTCAATATTTTTAAAAATACAATTGTACATACCTACATAAAATATTTATAAAAAAATCTACTTACTGAGATATTACACTTCACGGTGGATAGGTTTTTAAATAGCAAATTAATGAACTTAAACTTTTGAATTATGAAACAGCAACACTCTCATCTGCATATAAATTCTAACTGACCTTCAGGAATCACATGCATCTATAATGTCGTAAACAGAGGTTTTTGCTTATTTAAAATGATTAAAGCGCCATCCATAAAATTTAAAGCAAAAACAGATTCACGGAGGGTAGAATCAATTTTTGTAACACCTATACATACATAAATGGTTATAAAAATTTATTTCTTTTAATTTTTTATAATATTTTATATTTGATTCAATTGCTTTGGATGTGTTTAATTTACTTTGTGAACTGATATTTTTGGTATGCTTTTACTACCTCAGATATTTGAAAACGTAAAGGTTAACCTAGAAAGAGTAACATTCACGGAGGATAGGTTTTAGACTTTTAAAACATTGTGAAAACTAATTAATTGCGGTTAAAAATCTGGAACCTGAGCTGTTATATCTACCTAATTATGAAAAATCAAAACACAATAAAAGTGTATGTCAAACTCATTTAGTTTTATAAAATATCACGGGGTAACACCATCGGGGGACATTTCGTGAGATTCACCCAACTAGAGCTTACTTAAGTACATGTACATATATGATATTTATCAATATTTGACAGTACCTACAATTTATTAGGTGCTCTAAATCTTTTAACCATGCATTTTATTGCATTAATGCATATTACCTTTTGCCGTAGATGCTGTTCACAATATTTGACAGTAATATTTAAAAATATATATATTAAATTTCCCGTATTTCGAAAGAAAAAATTTAAAATCAAAACTGTTTTTGTGAAGAAAATTTATATTTATTATTAATTTTTATTTAATATTCCAAAAGTTTAATTTATAAAATTAATTCACTTACATTTTTCAGGATCCTCTTCATATTGATATTTTTTCCTAATTTGATCCTGTTCATAAATCGGCCGCTCTATTTTAATCCTAGAAGCCAAATATTCCTCCATAACTAAATTAAAAATATTACACCACACAAAACTTGACGGCAGCAGACTCGCTAGAAAAGTGTCCACTTTACCAAACTAAAAGCATTAGACTGACAAAAACCGCCTAATTAGATACTGATAACCTTCCGTGCAATATATTATAATATAAAGGCTATGCCGTAGCTGTTGATAAAGGCGACTTCGTTAAATTCAATTAAACGTTAGATGTTGTTTTGCAATCTAAAATTTTTTTCATCCTTCACCTGAATGAAAGAATAGCGTAAAATTTTTGCTAAGACACTTGCGCAACCGTTACCTACGCCAACTGCCGCACAAAAAACATGTTTTTCTATATTTTAGCGTCACAGATAACATCTCCGTAAAGCAAATATATTTGCTTTACTTTAGCCAGTTGTTAACTAATTTATAATTAATTAAATTTATGTTTTATATCAGCTATGGAATTGTTTTAAATTTATGCGAATAGATTATGAATTTTGATTTCAGCAATATGCACATATTAATTAATAAAAGTGGTAAACTTATAGTGTTTAATAATGTTTTGATGTTATAAAGTTTTTATTAAGACTTTTTAGTGTGGTTTTCATAAAATTAAAAAGTGTTAGGTAGTAGAAGAAATGTTCATAAACTTTCTTAAAATATTTCATTTCAAGGTCAAACTTTTTTAGTTTATTATTGTTTTTGTTATTCTACAAATAGCAAGTGTCGATATACGAGGTGTGTTCAGAAAATATCGGGAATTTTCGTTTTTTGAAACAAATATTTATTTATTCGTCTACATTAATGTTGTCGCCTTCAAAATAGTCCCCATTGGCTCTTCTTCAATACTCGAAACACTTCTAAAACTCGATCTTTGGGATAGCCTTTAGTTCTTTCAGCGATGCGCTTTTAATGTCATCTATGCTTGCAAAACGACGGCCCTTTAAGGTTCCCTTTATTTTTGGGAATAGGAAAAAGTCAGACAGAGGCATGTCTGGCGAATATGGAGGCTGGGGCATCATTACAGTATTGTTTTTGGCCAAAAATTTTGTTCAAAACAATTTTAGAACAAATTTTGCTGCCACGCGTTTCATACCCAAAAGCAGACTCACTATAGGCCTTTGTTAACATTTCACAGAATTTATTTCATTTTTTAAGCAAAATTGGATACAAATTCTTTGATCCATTTTTTTTAACGAACAAAAAATCACCGACAAAGTAAACAATGAAAACAGCTAAAGTTTTTATCATACTTCGGGGGCATGTATACCAACATAATAGAGAAAATTTTATGACAACCGGACCCTCTGAACCCGCGATATTTAACAATTCCCGTTATTTTCTGAATACACCTCGTATATCGACACTTGCTATTTGTAGAATAACAAAAAACAATAGGTAATAAACTAAAAAAGTTTGACCAAGCTATGGACATTTTGTATCTTAATTCAACAAAGAAATGCAGTAAACTATCTTATAAGTTAAATAAATCAGTTAAATACCTACTGGCAGTAGGCTACTGCTTTTCATAAAAATGTAGTTTATGCTAATTTTCCACAAATTTCTTGTTTAGCACTTACTGCCTTTCTCCATAGTTGGGCAGTATAGATGTAAACACTTTTAGTTGAGCGTTCTCCAAATATTTGTGTTGTGTATTTAAATATAGGCAATTTAACAAAAACACAGATAATTAAACTTTTAATTCTCATAGGATGTGGCAAAAAAAACTAGAACACGACAAGAAATATTAATAATACTTAATAATAATAATAATAATAATAATAATAATACTGCCATTTTGTTACGTGTGGAATCCACACTGTGGAAGAAGATCCTCACAGTGCTTCTAGCTTACACTGTTTAAAATATCTCTGGTGTAAAATGTAATCTTAAAATGGTGTCTAAATCCAACACCAAGTGGTGTTAATAAACAACATGAATTATGGTTGAAAATGTTATATAAAGCAAACACCAAAACGGTGTTTATCTAAAAATATTTGAGAAGTGTACCTACGCAGAAAAAAAGGAATAGTTCATTTAACTATATTAATTTAGTTGACCCACAAGTATTTATTTAAATCAACAGTGGGAAGGTTACTATAAACAAAGATTAGTTTGACGGTACTAAACCAGATAGTTATTTTTTTTTAAATTGGTTAAATTAACCCAGAAAACTTTAGTGAAACCAACCCGCATCTTTGGGGCATTATAAAAAGCCGTTTGCATAACCGCCAAAGACCAAATACCCTTTAAGAGCTATATATCACAAAAAGAATGGAAGAGGTACTCTCTAAAAATGAATTAGTCAAAAATTAATTATTATTGTCATAGCGAAAAAGCAGCCACTAATAATTTTCGTTAATAGCAATTTGTATCCCGAACATTTAGCAGTCAATTTCCATGTACAATTGTCCCCTGAATCTGAAAATGTCGTCTAAAGTTAAAAAAGTAAAACAGTTTTTGAGATATAGTCAATTTTCCATATAATATGGAATTAACTATATCTCAAAAACTGCTCTACTTTCATAATTTTTACGGTATTTTCAGATTTAGTTGACAATTTTACATATGAATTGCAATTCTAGTCAATTCCATATTATATATATATATTATCTTATCTATATGGGTGAATATATTGAGATGTCCCCCTAGTGAAAATGATCATTTTTTATTTTTGGTTGTCTAGTAATAACACAAGCACTAATGCAAGAAATTTAAGAAATCATACATTTTGAATATTAGAGCTTCACAGAAGATAGCTTCACAAAGGTTAGGATTTCGTATGTTTTGTTTTAAACATCCCTTTGTATATTTGAAATAAGTTATTGTATCTTTTGGCACCTTAATATTTTTAAAAAATACAATTGTACATATTACACTTCACGGTGGATAGGTTTTTAAATAGCAAATTAATGAACTTAAACTTTTGAATTATAAAACAGCAACACTCTCATCTGCATATATATTCTAACTGACCTTCAGGAATCACATGCATCTATAATGTCGTAAACAGAGGTTTTTGCTTATTTAAAATGATTAAAGCGCCATCCGTTGCATAAAATTTAAAGCAAAAACAGATTCACGGAGGATAGAATCAATTTTTGTAACACCTACATAAATGGTTATAAAAATTATTTCTTTTAATTTTTAATAATATTTTATATTTGATTCGATTGCAAGCATGCTTTGGATGTTTTTAATTTGCTTAGTGAACTGATATTTTTAGTATGCTTTTACTACCTCAGATATTTAAAAACATTTATGTTTTCCTGGAAAGAGTAACAGTCACGGAGGATAGGTTTTAGACTTTTAAAACATTGTAAAAAATAATTAATTGCGGTTAAAAATCTGGAACCTGAGCTGTAATATCTACTTTATTATGAAAGATTAAAACACAATAAAAGTGAAGGTCAAACTCATTTAGTTTTATTAAATATCACGGGGTAACACCATCGGGGGACATTTCGTGAGATTCGCCCATATCTTAAAAACTGTTTTACCAACATTTAACAGCCATGGCTGTTAAATGTTGGGGATACCGTGGTATTTTAGAGAGCATATTTATTCTAGAATTGTACCAGTTTTTAAGTAAATATATATTTTGTTAAAAAGTTTAATTAGCAATTAGCTCACTAGTTCCTTGTGACTAGTTTATTATAACCATGGTTTTCTTTGTTGGTTTTTGGGTCAAATAAAGTTTCTCTATCTATAGATAAACTAATAGTTTTTATGTTTAATGTTATAGCCAGGAAAATATGCAATAGTTTATTGACTATTAACCCAATCTGAATTTAAAAAAATAACATTTACGACTTGTATTAACTTGTGTAATCAAATAATTTAATATAAATCTGCCTACGCGTTGTGACGTCACAATTTTGCAAATTATTTTGATTACCTTCTTATCATATCAAAAGAAAACAATAACAAATGTAGCCATTGTTAGAAATATTCCGTAGCTGATTTATTGATTATTATATGATTAACAATCATAGACATAACCCATTTTCTGGCGGCTAAACATTCTTTGTGTGCGACGAGGGACCACAAGGTCGGCACGTGGAGGCTTTATGGTGGTCGTCAGCATTTTAGAGGAGCACACAGTTGCTTAAAAATATAAGCGGCACTCTTTAAGAAGCACTCGATAAATTAAGACATAAGTTGTTATTGTTGAACTATTTGATTTTAATATAATTGTTTTAAACCAAAAAAGACTTTATTTCTTACAAATCAGAAGTGGGATATATCTACACGTTAACCCTACAAGAGTTTTAAGTGTTGCGAAGTATTGCATCATTATGTCGAAACCCGACGGAACCACTCCGCCAGTGCCCCCATCCATGACTGTTTCTGTCTCTGAATCTTCAAGCGACTCTTCCGATGTTAGACCATATACACCACAAAAGAAAAATAAGTTAAGTGTTTCAATTGTAGAGGACCTCACCGTGCAAGGGAATGTCCTAACTAGAGATGAGATTGAGCGAAACCAAAGACAGTTAAAGAAGTAAGGCAAGTTTTTGAGTTGGCAAGGTACTGTTGCAAGTTTGTGAAAAACTATTTAGGTGGTGTGGAACCATCAATAACAATCTATCAAAAAGGATATTATGTGTATAGAATACATGTATATTCGGTGTACCGCCGCGAATTATCAGCGATCGTGCAAGTGCCATTACGTTGAAGACATTTAGTCCATTTTGTGAATCGTACGCGACCCTTTCATAAAAGAAATCTAAAGTGTTCTTAGTGCTGCGTTTAATTAAGATAAAATAAACATCACATTAACCATGACCATCTCAAGCAGAAAGAATGTTACGATAAGTGTCAACGCAAATCATCACGATTTGAATGTGGGTGATTTGGACGCGTATTAATAAGTGAAATTTCTACCGGGTCCACCAAAAAGTTGTTCCACAAATATAGAGGACCATTTAAAGTTTTAACGGCAAAAACTTGTGTATGGTAGTAGCGACTGATAAGATGAAACAGTGGATAACGATGATTAAATAGTTATTTGTTTTACAAGTGTTGAAAAGCGACTTTTTCATGCGAGTTTTTAAGTTGCCCACAAGGCCTTTAGGACGAGTGTGCATTAACACGAGCTTGAAGAAAGCTTTTCTCACAAGTATAACACAATGTTTTTTCTGAGACCCTTTTATTTTTTATTATTTTTAAATACAAAACAAAATAACCTAAAAACTTTTTTGACAGCTGAATGTCAAACGATGCTTTCCGGTTCTTTTCACACAGACCTGTCACTTTTCACACAGAAATGTCACTTTCCATTCGTGTTTTGCCTTGCCAATTCATTTTCTAAGCAACGATGCCATCATGAAAAGTGACTTTTACATAGTGGTCGTAGAAAAATACTACTTATTTACTTATTTTTTAGGTTGAGATAACAATTTAAGCCGATAATGCTTATTTGTTGTCGGGAGAATATTTAGGCCGATACTGCCTAGTAGGCAGTGCCTACTTATTCGGAATTGAGATAACAATTTAAGCCGAGACTGCTTATTTATTGTCGGGAGAATATTTAGGCCGATACTGCCTACTTATTCGGAATTAAGATAACAATTTAAGCCGACACTGCTTATTTGTTGTCGGGAGAATATTTAGGCCGATACTGCCTACTTATTCGGAATTGAGATGACAATTTAAGCCGATACCGCTTATTTGTCGTCGGGAGAATATTTAGGCCGATACTGCCTACTTATTCGGAATTGAGATAACTGTTTAGTCCGACACTGTCTAATTGTTATCGGAAGTTAATATGTTTGTTTTAGCTAGTTAAGAAGCGGTCTGGGACATCCCGCAAGTAAGGATGGCCGAATGTAAGAAATATTCCGTAGCTGATTTATTGATTATTATATGATTAACAATCATAGACATAATATCCCATTTTCTGGCGGCTAAACATTCTTTGTGTGCGACGAGGGACCACAAGGTCGGCACGTGGAGGCTTTATGGTGGTCGTCAGCATTTTAGAGGAGCACACAGTTGCTTAAAAATATAAGCGGCACTCTTTAAGAAGCACTCGATAAATTAAGACATAAGTTGTTATTGTTGAACTATTTGATTTAATATAATTGTTTTAAACCGAAAAGACTTTATTTCTTACATATATTTTCAAGATATACGAGGTGTGTTCAGAAAATATCGGGAATGTTCGTTTTTTGAAACAAATATTTATTTATTCGTCTACATTAATGTTGTCGCCTTCAAAATAGTCCCCATTGGATATTATGCACATGTGCCAGCTCTTCTTTCAATACTCGAAACACTTCTAAAACTCTATCTTTGGGATAGCCTTTAGTTCTTTCAGCGATGCGCTTTTAATGTCATCTATACTTGCAAAACGACGGCCCTTTAAGGTTCTCTTTATTTTTGGGAATAGGAAAAAGTCAGAAAGAGGCATGTCTGGCGAATATGGAGGCTGGGGAATCATTACAGTATTGTTTTTGGCCAAAAATGTTGTTCAAAATTTAACAATTTTAGAACAAATTTTGCTGCCACGCGTTTCATATGGAGGCTGGGGAATCATTACAGTATTGTTTTTGGCCAAAAATGTTGTTCAAAATTTAACAATTTTAGAACAAATTTTGCTGCCACGCGTTTCATACCCAAAATATTCGAAAAAATTTCATGGGATGAGCCAATCGATATACCAACATCATCAGCGACTTCTCTTATGGTTTATAACCATTTCTTCCACTTTTTCCATGTTTTTATCGGTTGTTAATGTGCTTGTGCGTTCGGGGCGTTCGTCATCTTCAACGTCTTCACGGCCATCTTGGAAACCCTTATACCACTTGTAAACTCTTGTTTTACTTATAGCAGACTCACTATAGGCCTTTGTTAATATTTCACAGAATTAATTTAATTTTTTAAGCAAAATTGGATACAAATTCTTTGATCCATTTCTTTAAGCGAACGAAAAATCGCCCAGCTCATAAAACACGTCTAACCTTAGCGGCTGCCACAGACAAAGTAAACAATGAAAACAGCTAAAGTTTTTATCATACTTCGGGGGCATGTATACCAACATAATAAAGAAAATTTTATGACAACCGGACCCTCCAAACCCGCGAAATTAAACAATTTCCGTTATTTTCTGAACACACCTCGTAAATCTACCTATATTGTCACCTTGTCATACAGCAGTCTATTTATAAACAAAATTATTTAATCTAAAAAATAAATCAGGTGAGAATATTTTGGCGTCAACTCTATTTAAAAATCGACAATGAATTCCGACGGCAGGATCAAAGTCATTACACTCATTGCATTTATATTTATAATCGAAATTTTCGCTCATTCAGGTGAGGCATTTCTCATAGCGGTGCAATATAAATAGCTTTAATTACATGGTCCACTTTTGAAAACCAAAAACGCTTAAGAAACTTAATCGCAACTTTTAAACAACAATTAAAGCTTTGTTTTGTTTTTAGCATGCGCTTGCGCGATACTTTGCACATACTTTTTAACTAGTTCAAGACTATTCTACTACTCGATGTCAGTAGGTATTCCAATTTGGACTGTTGTCAGTTTTAAAAATGTTTGTTTGTTTTCACTAAAGAAAGAATTTTTTAATGCACACATGCAAGGTAAATATATATGTTGTCCATTTTTTGTTTTACTATTTAAAAAAAAGTATAGATCCACTTAATTTGATCTAAGTGGACCTAAGCCAACATATGACAGGGAAAATTGAATCTGATTTAAAAATGTTTTTACTTTCTAATTTATAAATGAATAAACATTTTTTATGTAAAACTATAGTTAGGTACCTACAATTTATGTATAAGGGTGATTCTACAAAAGTTGGACAACTTGATGTCATCAGTCAATGGAGTAGGTATTTTAATATTTTTTGTAAATATTTTAGTATATTACAAAACATCCAGGTGTTTTTAACTTGTCACCCAATTTTAATGTATTTTTCAAAAGCACGTTTGTAGAAAAACATAATAAATATTCAAAACATCAGCACCTTGGCGTGTCACAACTCCTGGATCAATTATTTGAGTGATTTTATTTTAAAATATATTCAATTTATCTTAAATTTTTCAATATCACTACAAACTATAAAACATTAAATAATGTATTTTTCATATTTTGTCATAGATTCGAATAATAGCAATTTTTTAAAAATTGATAATCTTTGTACTCACTTTTACCAGTCAGTTCTGTGTCCAATGTTAAAATTCAAAATTCCGAAATATTGAAGTTTAAATGCCAAGTCCTCGTTTTAACTCAAGTGTTGGTAAAAACCTACAGAGCCCGCCCTTTGCACGACAGTCATCTTAAAAACAATGTAAGCGGCGAAGTTGTGGTGAATGCACGTATAGTTCCAGTCAAAATTTTAGTACTGTGGTGAGTAGTTATTTTCTTACGTATATATATATATATATATATATATATATATTTCAATGTAATTTATATAAGGCTTAATTTGATTTGTTGATACGTAGCACCCACTAATAAAAAATATCAGTAAAATACTTAATTCCGAATTATAATCTCAAATTTGTATCCCATTCATCAGTACCGTGTCGTCACTTCCATGTTCGATGTTTCGGTTATCTTTTTTTCGCAAACTTCAATTTAAATTCTGCTTGCGCAGAACTTGTTTATTAAATGTTATTATAAACTCATATAAATTTGGTGTGGGTCCCTTATCTAATAATTGAGATATCGGTATACCCAAAATCCACCAGCCGCCACTGATGTGTGGTGTGCTCATAGTTTAGCAATAAATTTTATATTTTCCAATAAATTATGTATTTAATTAGTACCCTGGTATAACCGTCACTTCCCTTGCATTAAAATTTAGAAAACAGATATTCCAGAAACTGTGACTGGCCCGGTCTGGAACAGTATATTTATTATATTATCTATGTTCTCATAACAAAATACTGTTTAACTTTCTCCGAAAACTATATAAACAAAAGTTGCCCAATTTTTGTAGAATCACCCATATGGTTTTAAAACTATTATAATAAGGAAAGTTAGTACCTCCTGTGCCTTTTTATTGCATAGATACCAAAATATCTTGAAAATCAAGCCCAAACACGGCATATTTATCTCTCGAAACAACGAAGATACCTCGAAAATGCATCATCGATTCGTTTTTGTTTTTCTGTAACAACTTTTTTGTTTTTGCGCATAAGTATGCCGTGTAACCACTCAAACTTCATGATTTTTTGTTTTCTATTAAAAAATGATTTAATAAATGGCGATTATTTGCGTTAATTCAAATAGGTTTAATTTTGCATATAAAATGAGTACCGAACGAAATGCAGACCCGTTAAAGAAATAAATAAAAGGGGTTCAGTCAAACACACCCGCATAAAGGGCAATACTGATGACATATTAAGTATCACGCACAGTGGGGTACATAGAATTTGTGTGTCTGTTTCCAATGTTTTCAGCTTAAAAAAACGTCTGGGTAATATGGCTGAATCTTCTTTGAAGTCAGTACCTACTTGGAAAAGGCAGTTGAATCTTCCTTGAATCATGTTGTATACAACCAGACGTGGACGGTACTGACGACAAAAAATGGTTTTCGCACAATGGGGCTAACGATTTGTGTTTAGCAGTTTCCGAATTTTCAGCGACACGAACGCAGACGAACAAGAAGTACTTCAAGAAGCAGGATTAGGCCCAACAGCATATTAACCAACCAAACCCGTGTAGCTAATTTGCCCCAACCCATAAATATATAATATATAATACATATTTTTTGGTATACATATACCTACTTAACATATATCTCAAAGTCAATCCGGGGACACACTGTATAGTAAGTTAACCAAAAAAATACGTCAAATATAAATTTTAAATTTGTAGTTTAAGCTGAACAGCTCTAAATTTTATGTTTATAAAGTACGACCTCCATTTACTTTATGACCAATTTTTATGTCTTAATATTTTAGTAAAATATCTATTTATAAAAAAAACTATCGTACGTATCAATTAACATTGAAGTTTTAAAAATAAATATTTATAAAAAACATTTATACCTACATTTCCATTACCATTATAGTGTCCATATTATACAAATGTATGCTTTTGATTTTGTAATCTATTTTTATTACTTATTTATACAAACCATATGTGTAAAAGCATTACATTATTTAGGTATACCTACTGTAGTAGGGTTTAAAGTAGATTACTTAATACATTTAAAACAAACAAAACATTTCCCAAGCAGCATTTTTGGTTCCAAAAACCATTGCCAAAGTGGTGATAACTTTAAATTAGTTAAGTATACTAAACATGTTGCTGCAGCTACTTTAATTTTTACTTAAAAGTAATTCTAACTTTTAAATAGCAATATTTTGTAACAAAAACTTAATTTTTCCTTAAATTGTTACTATAAAGTAATAAACATTTAAGTAAAACTTGGTTGCCCCCAAGAAGACTTTGCAACTTTAAAAAAGATGTTATAAGTAAAAAAAACTTTCAAGTAAATTTAATTTGTAGCAGTTACTTTCGGTTGCTACCTAAAGATTACATTATAATTATTTTTACTTTGTAGTCCCTTTGCAAGTTAAAATCTCGAAACTGGAACATGAGTTAAAAACTACAAAGTTAATAACTTAAAAGTTATTATTTTAGTATTTGGAACGTTTATGGTACTAACCAAAACAACCGTAAAGTGGAAAAAAACTTTAAAGTAGCGAAAACTACTTCAAAGGAAAATGCTTCTTATCGGCCATTTTTTACTGTACAGTACCACGTGGTAATGTAAATAATAAATTATTTTAATTGTTTGTAAATGGTTGTTTACTTTTTAATAAATAGAAATATTGTTGGTAATAGACGGTATTAACCCTTATGCAGGCGCACCTCTTTATGCAACGTAGTAGGTCGCGCGGGGTGTCAGAGACACCCCTGATGGCAAAGCGTCCCTGAGTGTTATTTACATTTTTTTTTGTTTTTTTAAGGTTATCAAGTTAAGATGAGCTGAGAGACAATGAGAACATATTTCGTTGCGTTCAAATTTGATAAAAGATGACAAAAAAAAGAAAATGTCAAAAGACGACAATTTTAATCAAATAAAGCATAATAATAATAAAAACAAAAAAAACACTAAGCACTTAAAATAAGGTTTACTTTTACAAGTAATTATGATTTGGTAAAAAAAAGTCAATAGGGAGGCGAAACCCAGCCTGCTCACGGGGTGTCCACAGCACCCAGAGCCTGTTTAAAACAAAATACCAGACAACCTATTACATTAACTTCAAAATCGGCAATGTAATATGACTGAGAATACTTTGACAGGAAGGTACTGAAAGTAAGCGCCATTTATTCGAATCGAAGTGAGACCGGTAGCTGTATTTAGGAAGCTGGGGTGTTTTGTACACCCCGCGTGCCTGCTTAAGGGTTAATAATTAAATAAAAAAAATAATAATAAATATTAAGATTTTTTTATTTATAAACATTACTAAATAAATAATTTGTTTATACTTAAATATTGATGAAGCGCATTTATTTTACAAAAACTAAATTCATAAGTTCAACAGTAAAATTTAAAGGGTTTATAAATCTACCTGTCTAATTAAATATTATATTGTTATTCTGGAAGTTATAAACTACCAGTACATATTTAATAACGATGTGGCTCCCGTCCCGAGGCGGGACTTAAGTTCAGTCCCGATTGACGTCACACACTGTAAATCCGTTTTTATTCCCCGAGATTTTATAATTTGTGTCAAGCTCGATGGCTTAGATGGTAGGGCGGTCGCTTGGCATGCGAGAGGTACCGGGTTCGAATCCACTAGAAGTTGTCAAACTTTTTTTATTTTATAAATTTGTTGTTTCTTTGTTAAAAAGTGTTTTATTTTTATCGTAACATAAATTTGCCCATTTTAGTTGGGTTTTTTGCTCAATGGGGCGGGGGGGGGCCCAATGGGGCGGGGTCGGTTGGGTTGTGTTGTTGAGTTTGGGTTGGTTTGGTTTTATGACGTAACTAAAGTGCCCTTAACATGTATACAGGTACAATTTATTATTATTATTATTTTATTATAACATAACAAATCTTAAAATTATGACGTCAATCGGGACTGAACTTAAGTCCCGCCTCGGGACGGGAGCCACAGCGATTTAATAAACGACGACATTGAAAAGCCAAGTCGACTTGGCCACTACGGATCCGTAGTGGTTCCATTTAAAAAAGGAGGGACAGTATAATCTAATATAAGTTTGACAAAGACAGTTAATATAGAAGTAAAAACAAATAATAAAAGTAATTATAACGCTCTAGCAACGATATTGGAACGTTCTAGTAACGTAGCAGCTACGTCCCAAATAGTAGCAGGGTTGGTAGCTAGTGACATATTTGCTACCTTTTTGGAACTCAATAATTGTTCCCCACTTTAGTCGTAACGTAGTAATGAAAGAGTAATATAAAGAGACCGGCGACTGTCGCAAAACACTTTGAAGTTTCTTCAATAGTCCCATATACGTAACAAATACTTAAATTGTTGCTTGGACAATTGTCCTGCTTTTTAAAAACATCTGTCCTAAACTTATTTTTAAACCTTGTCGCCATTTTTTTTTAATAATTGCATCGGTATGTATACATATTTTTTAATTTCACTTAACATAGGTACTGCATATTGTGAAAATCGGGATAAAATTTTAAACTTAAAACATTGTAGGTATCTCTGCTTAAACGTTTCTGGAAACTTTATGTTCTTTTGTTTTTATGCAAGAAATCTTACCCTAAAATTGTTGTTAATAAATGTTTTTGTATTGTAGCTGAATACGGGGACCCATGTACTACAATAGAAGACTGCTCAGATCATAGATATAATTGTTTAGAAGATGAATTTAACACATCAAGGTGCCTCTGCAACGTGTAAGTTAATATAAAAAGAACAGCTTTGAAACCCTAAACTAATAAGTAATTCTAATAATATACTATATTATTATATGAGAGATAATGCGCATTCTCTCGAGTGTACTACAATACTTTATCTACTCCAATGGGTAGATAATTACATGATTTTCTAAGATAAATAAATAAAATCTGACATCTGTCAAATGGTTAAACTCACTTTGTTATTATAGTCGCTAGTGAATATTGAAATCGGCCAATCACTGATGCCTAACAACGTGAATAATTATTTCATTATTCCCGTTGTTAGGCAGGAAATATATATCTAATGTTTATCAATATTCACGAAAAAAAAACAATATTATGCTAAATAAATAAATGTGTGGATTGTGGCTAGGGATTGCAATCCGGTACCAATTTCAATCCGGTCGGATCCGGCCGGATTCCTGTCAATCCGGCCAGATCCGGTCGGATCCGGCCAAATTAGTTATTCATGTTTATAATTCAATTTAATTATTACCTTTATGTGCTATATCTAGTATGTATTATGTGTAAATCTCAGAGATTCACACATGTGTATGTATACTAGATATAGCACATAAAGTTAATAATTAAATTGAATTTTTTGTTTTTATCTTTAGTAAATGTCAAACTTACTTTTTACAAATAAAAGTTTTCTAAACATCAATAAACCTTTATTAGAATTAAATTAAGGCAAAAAATATATAACAAATGTATTTATGGCGTTTTAGTCACGGGCTGAAGTTAGAAACAGTGGCTTTTAAGCTTTTTAGTCACGGGCTGAAGTTTGCTTTGTTATAAATTGGAAAAAAGTGAGGTTAAATTCGAGTGACAGTTGACAGATGTCAAGTTTTTAACAAATAAAATTGGCTTTAAATTCTGTTTTATGTTTGTCGTAGATAAAGTATAGTATGCAACTGGTTTATAAAACTTATCTAGACACTCGTTTTTATTAAACACTCGCTCGCAAGCTTCACTCGTGCTTAATTAAACTCGTAACTAAAATGGCGTTTATAAAATTTGATACTTAATATACTATTATATACTCCTCTACTGACGACCTGTGACTTTATGGCGGTTTAGTCACGGACTGAAGTTAGCAACAGTGGTTTTTGGGCTTTTTAGTCACGGGCTGAAGTTAGATTTATTATAAATTGGGAAATAGTGAGGTTAAACCCGGGTGACAGTTGACAGATGTCAATCTTTTAATAAATTAAATTTGCTTTAAATTCTGTTTTGTGTTCGTATATAAAGCATGGTATCTAACTCGTTTATAAACTTCTCTAAACACTCGTTTTTATTAAACACTCGCTCGCAAGCTTCGCTGGTGCTTAATTTAACTCCTAGCTAAAATGCCGTTTATAAAATTTTCTACATAAAGTTATTATAAACAAAATCAGAAATATGCATCATTAGAAAGGATTCGTTACTCAATTTAATTCTAAGAATATAATTTACTGAAATTATTCTCGTACTCGTGAAGGCAACAAAAATAATTTGACTATCAAGCGAGTCAAATGACAAACTGTCAGTTTGAAATCCAACTGTCAGTTTAAAACTAATGGCGTGTGGTCGGATCCGGCCGGATCATGCCGGATCCGGTCGACGTTTAATGATGCCGGATCCGCAGGATTACCGGATCCGGTTTTTCGGATTGCAATCCCTAATTGTGGCTATATATATATACTTAATACTAGAATTTGATATTTTTATTGTTTAAAGGAAATTTGATAATTATTTTATTTTTTTTAGGTTTCACAAATGGTTAAACGACTCCGTAGGTTGCATACAAATTGTTAACACTACTGATATAATGAATGAAACTGTCCATTCAGAACATGATAGAGCAGGTCTGTATAGTACTATTTATGGTAACTACTATATGAGTATTAGACTGGGCCAAAAAAAACAACTATTTTTTTTTTTGAAAAGTATATCGAAAATATGGTTTGGGGTGACAAAAAAAAATTATTGTGAAAGTTTGAGTCCATATTATTAATATTAAGAAGTCTATCATCGCAATTTTAATTTTTTTTTCCTCAGCAAGTTTTTGTCTCAGAACTCCCAAACCATTGAGTTTAACAAAATTGGCTCAAAAATATTTTTTTAAGAAAATTTAATGCTCTACAAAAAAGGTTAAAGTGAAATTTTCCGTCAGATGGACCGTTTCCTTAAAATCATGCTTTAAAAATTGGTATACTTTTACATTTTGATCTTTTAAATTGGAATTTTGTAATTGATGTAAAAATCAGTACCCATAAAAAACCGATAAATATTCTTATGGGAAATCAAATGCTTTACAAAAAAAGCCTCTCAACATTTTTGGCTGAATTCACTCAATCAAAAGTTATTCAGGGTTAAAATTTCGTTTTGAGTTCAAATTTAACCTTGAATAACTTTTGATTGAGTGAATTTAGCCAAAAATGATAAAAGACTTTTTTTGTAGAGCATTTGATTTTCCATAAGAATATTTATCGTTTTTTTTTCAGGGTACTGATTTTTACATTAATTACAAAATTCCAAAGTTAAAAGATCAAATTGTAAAACTAAACCAATTTTTAAGGCATGATTGTAAGAAAACGGTTCATCTGACGGGAAATTCCAATTTAACCTTTTTTGTAGAACATTCAATTTTCTTCAAAAAATATTCTTAAGTCAATTTTGTTAAACTCAATGTTTTGGGAGTTCTGAGACAAAAACTCGCTCAGGAAAAAAAACCTAAAATTGCGATGATAGACCTCTTAATATTAATAATATTGACTCAAACTTTCACAATAATTTTTTTTTGTCACCCTAAACCATATTTTCGATATACTTTTCAAAAAAAAAAAATAGTTGATTTTTTTGGCCCAGTCTAATGAGTATGAGTATGAGTATTAGGGTGTTTCAAAAAAATCGACTTTTTCTTTTTCTTCAAATGGTCAGCAAATTCTTTCAGAGGATGTCAAAACAAAGATCTCGTTAAAATTTGAGCTTTTAATTTGAAGATTTAGAGGTCGCGGATCGCAATTTTCTATTTCCCATTTAAATAACATAGGAAATTTTTTTATTTAACTTTGGAATTGTATACTTCTCTATCGAATCAACTTATGGCAAGGAACATCTTAGATTTTTATAGTAATTTTAACGCTCTATAAAAAATGTCTCTTATAATTTTTCTATAAATTGAGTTATTCGAGGCCAAAGTTTGATTTCCATCGAATTTTCTCGTTTTTTTCAACTTTTAGCATCATGTAGTAAAAAAATCACATATTTATATCTGAAACATAGGAAGTGTTGTAAAAAAAAACAAAAAAACGTCACTTTTTTCCAAAGCCTACTACAAAGTTTTAATGAAAATATGAGATGTGTATAATATGCAGAGTAATTTATTTATAAATGCATTTTTCTCGAAAATGGTGCATCTGAGCAATTCAAATCAAGAGTACCTATTTTTCGTAAAAAACTGTAAATTCTCATAATTTCATAAAAAAAAATTAAATTATTAACCCAGAAAAAAGTTGGGGCTATTTTTGTAACTTTGCCCCCTCCAAATGTTACGCCTATGATTAAATTTTAACAGTTTTGATCATAGATCTAGATTCAGCATGTCAAAATTACCAAAGTACCAAAAATTCATTTGTTCATGTTCAACCCTCTAGGAATAGTTTAAAAAAAATTATCCTCTTAGGCTCCTATTCAGGGGGCCGTAGCTCCTTTAGGGAGCATTTTTTGATACATGTTTATTAAACAAAAAAAGTGTTATTTTTATACGAATAATGCACTGTTTAAGTTTGGCCCCCTGATTTCGGGACACCCGTATAATGATAATTGTACCATAAATGTTAAAAAAAAGGCGAAAATTCGATGGAAATCAAACTTTGGCCTCGAATAACTCTGGAAGGAATCAATTTATAGAAAAATGATAGGAGACCTTTTTTGTAGAGCGTTAAATTTACTATGAAAATCTAAGATGATCCTTGACATAAGTTGATTTGATTCAGACGTATAAAATTTCAAAGTTAAAAAAAAAAAATTCCCATGTTATTTAAATGGGAAATAGAAAATTGCGATCCGCGACCTCTAAATCTTCAAATTAAAAGCTCAAATTTTGACGAGGTCTTTATGTTGACATCCTCTGAAAGAATTTGCCGACCATTTGAAGAAAAACAAAAAGTCGATTTTTTTGAAACACCCTAATGAGTATGAGTATAAGAGACGTATAACCGGCCCCATTGCCTCATCGCCGCTCCCGGGCCCCGCATAGGCCTCTGTTTCGTGTCGATTTTATTTCGCCACCAGAAACGGCGCGGCTTCACCCGTGTTTGCTGGTTGCGAATGTTCATTGCGTCCCGTACTGTCCCCTAATTAGGGCTCGAGAGCGAAATGCCAATAGTTTTAGTAGCCATTCCCGGGTTCGCCGAGCCGATGCTATACGCCCAGTAGGGTCATGAAGGAGGTAGGACGGGAGGGATAGATATTTTGGTGTTTGGGGGACAATTACGCCGACTCAAATCTAAGTACGACGCAGTACCCCCCTAGACCAGGCAGTTAGTATTACTCCAAACATTTGGGATTACTGTATGAGTTCGGGAGTTGTTATTTTGCCTATACGTCTTGGTTTACGTTTTTGTCGTTATTGTTCGTGTCCAAGTAGGATTGTTCCTGCACATATGTCTTCAGTCTTGAGGCCAAAAACCATCAATAGATAGTTCAATAGTTGGATATGTGATATGTTTTGTGGTAGAATTCTTTTGTCTTTTTGTCTTAATTTCCAAAGTTTCATATTGCATTTATTTATTAGTTAAACAAATGACAAGCGCAATTATTTTGTTATAATTTAATGTGTTTACAAATCCAATAGAGTTTGATTAGTATGCTGTTTTTACTATGTTTGGTTTTTCATGATTTATTGAGTGTTAGTTTATATTCTAAATGTCAAATGTTTATTATTGCACCATGGTCCCGTTTGGGTTAAAATTAACGTTATTGTTTGGGGCCGTTCTTTAAGTTACTGGGTTTCATGCCTTGCGTATTTGTTGTTGACAGATGTATTGTCCTACACAGCTTTGGTGTATCACCGCGATAGTTCGATTGAGAAGTTTTGTTTTGTGTTGTTTTTTTTCTTTATTATTTTATGGTGTTTGGTTAGTATTGTACAAGACGTCTTTCTAATGTTTCTATTGTTACTGATGTTTATTGTTTTTTGTTTTTTAATTTTGCAAATTATGTGTTAGCTAACAAAAGAGGTCAAACAAGTGGTCATCCGCAAAAATTTATATATATATATATATATATATATATATATATATATATACAGTATGTCCCCGGATAGGGTTGCCAAGAGGAGAAACTGCTTTATTTTTCATTTTACGAGAAAAATGTATTTTTCGTTTTTGCTTGTTTCAAAATGGCTGAATCAGTTTCCACCGTTTCAAATTTCCTTTCCGTTCAAGAGAAACATGAAAAAATAGGTCCTTTTAGTTGAATATTTGCAAATGTTTAAGTCCCAAAAATTACACGACTATTGTTTATAAGTTTTGATTTCAACAATTCAACAAAAATCAAGTCGTTTCATTGTCAGTCTAAAACGAACATTTATTTAATATTATTTTATTATTATTACAATTCAACAAAATAATTAAACTACTAATAAATTTCACTCGATCCATTCACCACCTTCATAGCTCATAGCATAGCTCAAGTCTGCGACGCAGTTCCCTTTAACTGTTTCTGATCTCTTCCAGCGGTAAAGACGCCACAGCATCTCTGATTTTCTCCTTCAAACGTTCTACAAGGAAGATTATTCGCATAAACTATTTGTTTCAAACGGCCCCAAAGGTAAAAATCTGCAATAGTCAAATCAGGGCTCCTCGGTGGCCATTAAACAGGACCATTTCGGCCGATCCAATTCTCTCCAAATTGATGATTCAACCATTCTACAACTATTCGAGCATAATTTACAGGACAACCATCTTGTTGAAAGTAACACCTTGCACGATAATTAATCGGTAGATCGTCCAACCTTTCATTTAGAAAATGTTGTAACATATCTAAATACGTATGCTGATTAACCGTATTTTCAAAAAAATATGGTCCAATTATACCATGATAAGAAATTGCACACCATACATTAACTTTAGCCAAATATTGTCGATTACAAGCGATTCGGAAATAGGGATTGAGCAATCATGATTGCTCCAGTACCTCACATGCTGAGATGAAACAGTACCATTGGTTGAGAACGTGGCTTCATCAGAAAATATAATATCTCGATAAAAGTATTGATTATCCATGATTTGAGCACCCATCCACAAGCAGAAATCCAAACGTTTTGCGGGATCTCCGTGCTCTAAAGCGTGATTAAAAATTGGTTTGTAAGGATGAATTTTACATTGTTTCAATATTCTTTGAATGTGTGTTTTATTTATCCCCAATTGAAGTGATCTTCGTCATAAAGAAAGTTTCGGATTATTTTGTATCGAATCCGTTACGATAAGAGTGGAAGCGTCATCTTCATTGCGATCTACCTTAATTTTCTTTACATCCAAAACGGAGCCAGTAATTAAGAATTTCTTCACTGAAAAAAATAATTTGTTTAAGCAACTAAAAAAAAGTTGCGCCAACAAATTTTATTTGTAGCTATAGCCTCAACTAAAATCTTTGTTACAACAACAATTTTTTTTTTGTTGAGACATAATATGTTACTGTAACTAATATTTTTTGTTGACAAAACTATGGTGTCTTGTTTAAAGTAACTAATATTATTGATATCTCATACAATAATATTTTGTTGTTAAAACAGTTTACATTTGTTTTAGGTAATAATTTATTTGTTTCTATAACTTTTTGCATTTGTTTTCATTATAAATCTATTTGTTGGAAAAGCTATGGTAATGAGTAACTACAACATTGTTGCTTTGTTGTTATAACATTTGGTAGTTCTTTTAATCACCAAAAAATAATTTTTGTTAAAAGAACTTAAACAATATTAACCTATGCCTACACAATATTGTTAAAGCACCTCTTTCAGTATGTAAAAAGAGTTGCATTAACAATATTGTGTAGGTATAGGTTAATATTGTTTGATTTTTTTAACAAAAAATATTTTGGTACCTTTAAAAGTATTTTCTAATGAAGAAAATCCCCACTCGGTTAATATTTGGTTTACTCCTTCATCCATAACGCCCAATGCACAAAAATTAATTAACGCGAACCTGCTTCCTCTAGCATTTGCACAAAAATTTTTTGACAGTGACAAATTATTTTTTTATTATTCAATCACTATGACACCAAGACTTAACTTTAACCATGGCACCAAGTCGAAAATTGACAACAAAAACATATTTGTTATGTTTACTTAAGGATACCTATTAGCGGCGACGCATATTGTCAGTAGGGTAAACTAATTCTTTCCAACAAATTCATTTTTGTTGCAAATACTAATGTATTAAACACTTTACTTGGGTTAACAAATTTTTTATTAGGACCAACAAAAACAATTGCAACAAAAAATTTATTGGTTGATAAAACAGATTTGTTTTTTCAGTGTTTATTAATTTTTGTGCACCACATTTTGAGATGTAGATATCGGGAAACTTTTAATTGACTGTATTAAATAAATTCGTTGCTCTTTCGACAACATTGTCATTAATTTTGACAAATTTTCGTTTTAGACTGAAGTTTTATAATCTGTGGACTGACAATGAAACAACTTGATTTTTGTTGAATTGTTGCAATGAAAACTTAATAAACAATAGTCGTGTCAACTGTTGCCATGAAAACGAAAAGTAATTTTTGGGACTTAAACAAATATTCAACTAAAAGGACATACTTTATATATATATGAGTACATTAGATGCACAACTCTGTATTTGCAGGATAAGTGATTTTAAGAAAAACACGAAAAACCGCTCATAAGGTCATATTTAAAAAAAAAAATACAAAAATCGTATAGACGTGCTTTTGCATCATTTCTTATTCAAAAAAGTAAAAAAAAGTCCTTTAAAATTAAGTACTTTAGCAAATAATTGAAATCAAAAGATTTAAAAACATAGTTTTGCATCTTCCTCGTTCAAAGACCAAGTTTTGCAAGTGAAAAGTGCAAATACCAAAAAAATAACAATTAATCAGGTGATTGTTATGCCGTCAGTTAATGCGTATACTAGCGACGTGATTGGTGATTGGTCAAATACCGAGTTTTGCATCCGACAAATACCCAGTTTTGCAGCTGCGGTAAGTTTATAAATATAATTTATTCTACAAATATCAACTTATGCATCTGGTTTACTTAGTTATGCTGTGGGCAGTGCAGTTATGATCATAAATAAGATAAAATATATATTTTTTTAAAATGTGCAAAAACCGAGTTTTGCATCTAATGTACTCATATATACTTGTCAATTTTTGCGGATGACCACTTGTTTGACCTCTTTTGTTTGTCTACTGAAAAGCGTCCAATGACAGGTGGTAGGACCAGAACCTGAACTTGTCACTTAACTCTTTCTTATCACTTAACACTTCACTCTTTTTTGACCGTTACACTATTTTAGTTTGCACTTTATGAAAATTGTTTGTTGGTTTTGTTCTCTTTTGTTTGTCCAGTGAAAAGCGTTCAGTTGAGAGGTGGAATGAACGCCCAGAAGCTCACTTGTCACTTAACTCTTTTTTATCACTTAACTCTTAACTTATTCTTGACCGTAGGGTAGTCTATACTGACTGTAGTTGTTTTACTATAATTGGTTTGCAATTTTGAGAAATTATATATTTGTTGGTTTTAAACTTTAAACTTTTACGTTTTAAGAGCTCTCGCTGCTACAATACGTATTGCCTTGTCAAGTGGTGGAACCTGACTGTCTTTTTATAGTAAATACTATATAAATAAAAAAGCAAACCATATAATTATTATAAAAAATGTTTTAGGACGTTTAGAAAAAATCGACGACTACGTATTTAACTTAATTTTGCTGGCAGCTTTATTCCTACTAGTGGTGATATTGGTTGTTGTACTCATGGTCATAGGATACTGCATTCATATGGAAAAATCGTATGTAGGAAAGTACAAAATTAAATTTATTTTTAATTTTATTTTGTTTTAGGGATCAAGCTCTTGCAAAGTCTTTAAAAGATATTATTATTGTCAGTAAAACAAAATAGCTCAAATATTTTAAATTTAAATAAGATTTTTAAGTAATTTACCTTTGTAAATATGGAAATAAATACAGGATGTTTACAAAAGGTTGTCAAAAATTTACCAGGTGCTAGAGCCCCTGTAAAGCCCCTTTATATTATACAGGATCCAGGATTTCGTTTGGGTGATCTTTCAGAAAATTTGTTCTAAAGATTTTATAACATTTTAGTTTGTTCTTTGCATTTAAATATCGTTTTGAGCATAGCTGATCTGTCATGTGATGGCATCTTCCGCGTTTTCAAGATAGCTCTCCTGTCACTACTTACCAAGTGTTGCCGTTTGCGGGTATTTTACTCGTCATGTTTTGCGGGTAGAATGTTGAAGCGTGTAAAATCGGATATTTTGCAAATTTCGATCAAAATACCAACTAAAGAAATTTTCAGTAAATAATATTGTATGTTTACTAAAAATGCATAATTATTTTATTCCTTATAGGACATCCTGTTACATTTTTATTTGCTTATACAAAATTGTTAATTAATTTAAATTTTAACAGGGCGAATGCGCTAGTAAATTTAAAAT